GAAGAAGAAGATGTGCCTGCAGCAAGCAGCCTCGCCAACGCCCGGCTCTCTCGGCTCGTGCTTCGGTACGTTGCTGTGCCGATCGCTGGACGGTTCTTCACGCTGTCTCGTCGCTGTCTTTAACGGCTAATAAACCTCTTCACATTTGGTGGAGGTGCGGGGTAGGTAGACGGGTGGTGGTCTCGTGAGTGAAGGGCACTACGGAAAGTTGGCGGGCGACTTCCTCACGGACGAAGGCTCAAACTTGCTGAAGCAACGGTGAATTGTCAGGCAGGGTGTCGAAACTGGACAGTGACTCACCACCCCGCTGAGGCTGCCGAGTCAGAGTGCGTTGCTTCTTCAACGCGTCGTAGCTCTGACACAAGCTGACGATTTCGGAAACTGTGCTCGGATTTCTTGCTAAGAGCATTTGAAATGCGCCGTCGTCGATGCCCTTCCGGATGTGTTTTACCTTGTCAGATTCGGGCATGCTGTCCTTCGCACGTCGACAAAGGTGGACGACGTCCTCAATATAGCTGGTAAAGGTCTCGCCAGTCTGCTGAGAGCGGACGCGCAAGCGCTGTTCTGCCCGCTGCTTGCAGACAGCCGGCCGACCGAACACTTCAGCACATGACGTCTTGAAGACGCTCCATGTAGAGATGTTGTGTTTTTGGTTGTTAAACCACAATTCGGCGACGCCAGTGAGATAAAATATGACGTGGCCCAGCTTGTCGGCTTCACCCCACTTATTGTTGGCGCTCAGCAGTTCGTAGTGCTTGAGCCAGTCTTTGACGTCGGTCCCATCCACACCGCTGAAGACCTTCGGATCGCGTAGCCTAGGATGGCCAGGGCAGTTGAACTGGGACGAAGGAGCCGATGTAGTGGCGTTGTCAGTCATGACAGGTGGTAGCGTGAGGCTTCGCAGCTCCAGGGTGAGGCAAAGGGGATTAACGCTGTCTTTAACAGCTAATAAACCTCTTCACAATATGTTACTATTAATATGTAGCTCTCTAACGCTATCGCGTTAAAAAGCAGCAGTCACAGGCCTAGCAGCGCCACACTACAGGCCGACTCCTTGGCGATTGGAAGCATCAATACTGCTCTGCAGATGCTCTCCCCCTCGTTCTATACCACAATGCAACACGTTGGCTCCCCGAGCAACCACGAGCTGCGCTATCTGTGTCACCGGCTACGCGTTCCGAGTGCGCTATTTCAATCCGCGGGTACTGTACTTCCCAGGGTTGGCCTGAAATTTATCTGCCGACAGTGAACCAGGCAGAACGCCATAAGGAACGAAGGTCCCGTCTGAAATCCCCCGAATAGCCCGAAGAGAGCTTCCGAGACCGCCTGAAGCTTTTTCTATAAAAGAAATCGCGGTCTTGAAGCAAGCACAAACACACTCCCCACCTAATGGCTTTACACTGCACAGAACACAAGCCCTAAATACAACAAATTGCCAAGTCTGCGGTTCTACACCGACTATCCCGCGCATACTGGCACTGCCCAAGAGTCATTACGCCACAACGCCAACCGTTCCGCTTGAACATACTTGGGAGCCCCGCCGCGGTGGTATATACTAGGCTGCTGACCCGCAGGTTGCGGGATAGAATCCCGGCTGCGGCGGCTGCATTTCCGATGGAGGCGGAAATGTTTTAGGCCCATGTGCTCAGATTTGGGTGCACGTTAAAGAACCCCAGGTGGTCGAAATTTCCAGAGGCCCCCACTACGGCGTCTCTCATAATCATATAGTGGTTTTGGGGCGTTAAACCCCACATATCAATCATCATCATCATCAACATACTTGGGAGGCCTGGGTTGGAAATCTGGGCAAAACCTCCTCGTCGTGGACAATCCTCCTTAACTAATATCTTAGGGAGGCCAGTAAAGCCTCTCACTGGAGCTCCGACCCCCACTTGGGTTTCAAAAATTAGTTTCTTTCTCGCCCTTTCTCTTTCTTCATTTTCATCTCCTGACCAGCCCAATCGAGCACATATAGTGAATCGGTGGCTCGAGCCTATTCAGCAACGTCCATCCAGAGATGAAAATTCTCATTGGAATCTTGCGACTTTGTCTCTGGCACTGTTAATGCTTTGCCGTGCTGGTGCAGCGCATTGGGCCCTGCTTCTCTGCCTAGGTGGTTGGGACACACTCTTGCAGTACACGTTGACCCCACTGATAACCGCGCGCCTTGTTCCAACTGCAGCTGTTGGCATCGTGTTTAAAAGATGCACACCTTCAGTATTTGCAGTCACTTGCGACTTCAGCGCTTTCTCCGAGAGGTGTTCGTCGACGCGCCTGCATTTTCAATAGTGGTTTGCTTCAGCTAAAATGCTTTGCACATCGTATTACGCGGCTTCGGTAGATTTATATCACTTCAGTTTCTTCTAGCGTTAGCTCCTTCTTCGCTAGCGTTCTTTTCTTGCTTCATTTGAGAGTACACCGCGAACAATCTTGCCCCGGATCATTCTGTCAGGGGGGGCTGTCAGAGTTACGGTTGTCTGCAATGCGGCGAATCTCGATGAGATTCATGCACTGTCCAGTTGACAGCGGCTGAAGACAACATGTAGCTCTCCGTAGTTTCCTTGCGTGTTAGGTCATATAGTACTCAATCAAGGTTTTCGTAAATGCGTCATAAGTCAAGGAATTTAGCTTTCGGGGAGCTACTATTCCGGCAAAATTTTGAACGGTCTGCGTACTCAAAGCAGCCATAAGAAGTGCTGTCTTCTTGTTTGATTCAGCAATGCCGTTTGCTTAAGAGAACGCGTTACTTTGACCAAATACGGTTTACACGTACTTATCATTGCTTTTTTTTTTCAAAACTCGGAAGCATCTGGAAAGCTATGGAAGTCGTTGGCACGGCTGTCTGCAAGGTCTGATGGAGTGTCAGGCTCTGTTTTAACTTCGTGGGTGTCGACTCGACTCATTGAAGTTGCCACGGCCTACTGGCCACAGCCCGAAAAGAACGCATGTTCACACACGTTGAGAATAGGCAAAGAATGACGTTTATTATTTTTTGCAGTAGTGTTAATATAAGACCGGGGTGAGTGGGAATGGAGAAATTAAGGGAATAGAGCAAAGAACTTCACGCGTGGGCAGTGGACAGCAAGTCCGTGACATAGCAGCCGATACAACAGTATCATATCCTTGTATTGCTCCGAGACAGTTATACACCTGAAATGAAAGAATACGGAAATGTAGTTATTCTATCTCACTTATTATTTGGAGAAGAAGTGATCCTAGACGGCGTTTTTCTTTTTTTTGTTTTCGATAGCTAATACTTTCAAAATTTTCATGTAAAAATTCAAACAATCTATTCGTGGCCAATCCCCCTGAGTGCAGTATGAGCCATGGTAGAGGCTTTATCAACATCATCATCATCATCATCATCGGTGTGGCATAAAACCAGCAAGAAAATTGAGAACATGAGGCAGAGCTGAAGCATTTTATGGAGGCCTGTAATAGACGTCAAGAATAAGAAAACACGACCAACAGTCTATGACAATGCCCCTTTTCGCAGGAAGGATCACTTGCTCTTCAAGTCTTGTTATCACCATTAAGCCAATGACATAGAGAACGGGACCAACCGAAGCAAAAGACGTATTAATATTTTAACAAAAACTTGCGATACAGTTTATAATCTGCCATTTAGACTCTTTTTGAGTAACCATCCGAAGACCAAATGAAATATTTCAATCTAATTTAGCGGCCAAATTAAAATTTTACTCTGAAATACCGGCGATGGTAGGCTATATAGATTGTGACCGCCACATATGGTTCGATTGAAGTATTTTGGCGACCGGGACACACTGGCAAAAAGTTGTTGGAGCGGTAGCAAACGTGTTTTTCTGTTTCACCAAAAATGGACGTGGCTCTTTAAAAAAAAAAGAACACAACAAGTATGAAGCTTAACGTGGTGACAGTACATAAAAAATTTCAATACAGTGGTAGTCATGCCTTCATATAGATTTGGTCATTATCACCAAATTTGTACAACGTTCTCTGTATTTAGCGTCATAAAAGGTGACGACAGATAAGGAGCTATAAGAATGAAGTGCAATGTAATGATATTCAGAGCTTGATGTCTAAAATTCACGATATGATCATGATGGACGCCGTAGTGGAAGGCGCCGAAAATTTCGACCATCTGGTGTTTTTTAAGGTGCACTACCATCGCACAGTACGCGGGCCTCTGCCATTTCGCCGGCATCGAAATGTGACCGCCACTGCCGGGGATCGAACCCGCCACCTTCGGGTCAGCAGCCGAGCAAGAGCGAAACTGTTAGACTATGCGGGTCTTATTGCGTCTCGACGGCAGTATTCTAACAAAAAAGAAAATTCATTATAATTGAACGGTTCAACAAGAAGTGACGAAGCGAAGGCTGCCTGGATACTCTCCACCACGACACTCAGGAAAAGCACAGTGTTAAAACGTGTCGGCCCTGTTGAGCTCTCAAAGCAGACGCGTTCTCAGAATCTGAGGCGTGCTATCCTCGATCGCTGCCGATAACATTTGTACCTTGGAAAATCGTGTTTTACTTTCTGCGCGGAGCTAGTGCTCACTGGATGCTCTGAGAAACCTGCTACAGACTATTGAATCAGTATGAAGGCAAGTTAACCTTGTCTATATTCAGTACCCAAAAAATGGAAAGTGAGCTAGCTCATTGTGTCTCGTGATTGGAAGTGTCGGATTTGAAAATTTTACATTTGCGTGAAGGAACGCCCATGTACTGTTAGCAATACACAATTAATGGATCTCCGTGGTCCGCCGCATGCTCTGGTCAGCCTCCCTTTTTCTTTTCGTTATTTGAAGCCGATGATGTAGCCTCTGGCACGATCACTCCTTTACGTTTAGGACGTCCGTGAGCGCATAGAGACAAATGAAAACGGCGTACTTGCACCACCTTGCCTTCTATGAAGGCTTAAACAATCAAGCAGTGACCCTAGCTCTAAGTAACGTCGTCATGACAGCGAAATGAGCAAAATGGTTGTTTCACTGACTGCTTGTGCGTGGACACATGCAGCATCTGCTCAGGAGCCACCATTTGGAGCGCGTGCACGAGGCCAGCCTGTCGGGACACATGCTGCTGGACGAGATGCAGCGACTGCAGTGGCGCCAGACTCAGACGTCGAGCGGCCTATTGGGGACCACTGGCGGCTCCGGCGTCGTTCGCGAAAAAGACAACTACTTGGTGCAGCTGTCGGATGGCCGCATCAGGACCTTCTATGCATCCCTGTCGCCCAAAAATCAGCACTAACAGAACGGTCGAAACGACGCTTTTTCGTCAGCTAATCTGCAACCTCACTGGCAGCTTGGCTCAGTGACAGTGGTGCTGCATTAAAAATAATACAAAGAAGCCTGTCGCAAGATGCATGCGCATGTGAGAAAATAGATGAAATATGGAAGTGATAAAAATTAGCCAGATTTCTGCAGTTCTCCATTTGCGAGTTTTGTGAATATGGTCTCATATCCGGGATAATTTCACCAGCGGTCGCTTTTGTGTGACGATAAAAACATCCTTACAGCAACCAGTTGCTAATTGTTGTTTTTTATTTAACTTGTTTTAACAATGTACGCATTCAACACTCAAGAAAGCGCCTGCAGGTAGATTGGATCTTTTACTAGGGAGAAGAGTTGACATTAAAAAAAAGAAATAGAAAAAAATGGATCAACACATACTTTTACAGGAACAAATGAGTATTTTTTTGCGCTTGTCTTTTTTCTTAACGATTGATATGTTTGCCGTAGCAGAGCCAGAAGTGATCTGGATCACCGATGATAAGACGTTTATAGCTACAAATTACCGAGTGACACGCACTGTCGGTGAGTAACTAGACCAGCTCAGCGTTTAAGGATAACCAATAATAGCTAAACAAGAGTTCTCGAGTGAATGCCCCACGACTTATCTTGTACAATAGTGCATCAGCTTCAATTAGTTGTTGAATCATAAAACACAAAGTATACATATATCCTCTCTTACATTCCTGTTACCAAATTTTGACTCGTCTAGTCAATGAAGAAACGAAATGCCTGAATGACTTGCACACTTGAAGTGTCCTGGCATTCATACTTTTCATCAAAGAAGCTCTGGCTTTCGATACCATATCGCATATTACACCAAAATGTATAATAATTCCACGAATACTTGTGGCTTCATGAGGAAGAAGTCGCAATTCTAAGGTGTCACGAGTCGGCAACACCCTATGACATTTAGTAAATGACTCACCTGAGGGAAGAAGAACGCCTGCGTTGAAATTCTTTCCTTGACAGTCTTTAACATGGCAGCCCAGCGACACATGCATATTTGCCATTTTCACAATTTTAATGTGCATGATATCCCAAGAAATCGCGTCGTTTGTACGATGCGGTCAAAATTTTAACTGTTTATTGGTGAGCTGGTGCACCTGCCTTGGGTCTGGATGATTATACATTACGTACTTGTCATCTACGGTTGCATTAGTTATGTGCACTAACTTTGGTGATCATTCTTCATTAGTTGATGCTAGTGCTAGAAATACTGCAGTGAGCATCGCTATCGATGTCAATTGAGGAGTTCTCCGACATTCTTTCGAGACCACCTCTGTAAAGATGTTTTGATTCTATAACTAAAAGTTGTTTAGGGCACCAGACCACTCGGTAGAGTCACTGTCTTGACGCAAATCAGATTAGAAATAAGGGGCGATACAAACCCTCTTTTTCACATCTTGCCACATCATTAAATGCGTTAACTTGACATTCTCATGCACAGAATTGGAGCAAGCTGAGTGTTTTTGTTTTGCACAGCCAAATGCAGTTTATTTCAATTATATGATATCTATAGATGTTGGCGCTTCCGTATAGCACCGGCTGCTCGTTTTCCTGTATGATATAAATTTGAAAAGCACAGTGGTGAAAAATATTTCTAAATACAACCTATATAGGCACAGTCATATATGTCTTTTATCATAATTAACACAAAGGAAAAAAACACAAAATACAGTTCCTTAAAGCAAAAATTTCTTTTCAAGCATTTTTAGACTTTTCTAACTGTGCTGCTGGGTGCCGCTGTCTTGCACATTATACATATATATATATATACACACACACACACACACACACACACACACACACACACACACACACACACACACACACACACACACACACACACACACACTGGGAGTAATAATTCAATGGGCCAGTTAGTTTTCATGAAGGTATGGGATATGGGCACAACGGTAGCGTTGTCAACAAGGATAAATATATATATATATATATAGGACACATGCTAAAAGAAGAGATAAAACCTCGCTGAGCTTGACGGGTTACATACGTAACTAAATTGGTGTATAAAACTGTCTTCAAGCTCATACTTTACGATTTAAATAACATGAAAAAAAAAAGAGCCTCTGAGCACGTACTTATTCATACAATAAAAGTGTTTAGGATGACCTAAACTGGAAATGTTTACACCCATTGTACGCTTTCTAAAAAAAAAGTATACCTACAAGCAAGCTACAGTGACAGTATGGTCAAAGTATACGTGCGAAATTAGGGAAGCCTACATGCCTCAGTGAGAGTATTGGGAAAGAAAACAGAACACTGCCGTGGGTAACAAACAATAGTTTATTTCATATGATATTTATTGGCTTTAAGTTTTGTATTTTTTTTCTTTTGCAAACCACACACAACGCACGATTTCTTGCTAACATCGATATATGACGTGACGCAGAGAACTCTTGTTTCATCACCATATACATTTGCGTACAGCTATCAGATGAACAAAGAACCATTCATTGCTACATATCTCATAAACTGTTCTATACAACAGGGTCCCAGGTGCCGGTTTTTACAAAGTTTGTATACAGTCTATTCACATTGCAGAACATGTTTTAGAACTTCCAATGAACATGTTTCCCAAGAGTAGGTCAACGTCGACATGTGTCTTGTTAAATGTACTCTTCGTCTGGGTAACAGCATAGACAGCAGCAGCGGTGATACTGACCACAGTGACAACTCCGGCAACGAAAACTAGCAACAACTTTGTCGAACAAGTGTGCCATGTTTTTTATGTTGGTGGTGTATATTTGCCCATCTCATACACTATGCAGAACCTTCCTGAGACAACTAGGGAAGGCGATTAAAATTTGTAATACTCTTTTTGTAGCACATATCTTAATGACGAGAACATGACCCTTGTGATGTTTTTTTTTTCTCTGTTCCACTAGACGTGTGTTTCATGAACTTCAAAGCGATAATGAATTGCATTGACTCTCTGAATGGTGTCGTAATAATCATCTTCAGATATATCACGGTCAATATCTGTGTGAGGGTTTAATCAACGATTGCGATAATGGTAACGCTTATCGACCCCACTAAAAAACACAATGGCGTAGAAACCAAGGCGTTCTTGCCGAACTTGCTTCTAGTGATACAGCCTTGCCAAACTGTTCGTCAACATGTCCTTGGGGCTCGTTCAAGCCAACGTTTCCCGACAAATGTTGACACTTTAGTGTGCTAAAACCACGGCGAAAAGCATGTTACACCAGCAGTAATGTATAGTTTCGACCAATATGTTTCCAAATGTGAATAGATTTTCACCATCATCAAAAAGTCAAAAATTGCACGTGAGTGCACAAAGCTGTGCAAACCAGCACAATGCTCAAAATGCAGCTGTAAAAAGGCAGAATTCTAGCACCGATATATTAGTGCAACATTTACGTTCCCTAATAATATTTGACAAAATTCAAAGAAACAAAAGCAATGTCTCTGATATACTGGCGCTGGTTATGATCCGTAATTCAAACTTGAAATCTTACTTCTTTGTTCTCATTTCTGAACAACAAGCAAAAACAATAAATGCGAAATGCCTAATCGAGATGAACCATTTGAAGGTGGTACCGTAACATAATTTTTTTTGCACATAGCAAGTACACTTCATATTGTCATGAACTTACGTATCACTAATGCTACCTTGCATGTCGTTGACACGGATGCAGATAGACATACTGTAGTGGCAATACAACACTTCAGTACACACAACACACCTAAGCCCAATCATTATCGCTAACGAGCAGATAACAATCTTACCACGGACTCTGCACGCGTATGTCAAACTCTCCTTAATGCTCCTACATAGCTTTGGCACTTCGACAATTTTGTGTCAGGAGGGCTTTAAAAAAAATTAAGCCAGGGCTGGATTTTGTAATGACATATTTAGTATAATTTCATTGTTTTATAAAGTGCCGTGCCAAGTGGCTGATGGCAGTAATAGTGACAGTGCAGCGGCATATGCAAAATTTAAGTGCAAAAATGTCTAAATTATGGAAGAATAAAATGAACTGTTACAAAACAAGAAGCCTAGAAAAGGCGACCAAAGTTCTTTTTGACACAGTATCCAGTATGCGGAAATTTAGCAAGCCGCATCGTCAATTTTAGATGGAGACAAAACATGTGCGATCCTCTCCCAACATGCAGAAATCTAGCACAGCCCTCAGAAGAACCTTCTCATTGAATGTGAACAAACCAATAGTTTCTATGGCACCAGAGTATTTAAGAAGGGTAAGAGCGCACCGAATACGAATACACAAAGAAAGGACACACACACACACACATAGTGTGTATGTGTGTGTGTGTGTCCTTTCTTTGTGTTTTGTTTGTGTATTCGTATTCAGTGCGCCCTTACCCTTCTTAAACATGGAGTACCAACATGCCCACCTTTCCATTTTGGTGAACCAGGGTATTCCAAATAGTCAGTGCATTAAAAATTAAAAAAACGTGTCATTATGCCCGGCTGCGCGATGTAGAAAAGTAACTTTGTGCACAGTCATCACAAACAGAGATACACTAAACGGGCCTAAAAGCAAAAAAAATGTAAACGAATAGCCCATATTGCAATAATTGACACCCCTATTGCATTCTCAAAGATGCGACTGGTTAGAAGAATGCAGTTCACACCCTTCGTTCGGTGTGCTAATATAACCTGCTCCATAGAATTTTTATTTTTCTCACACTTAACAAAAAGTATACCTTTCTGACCAGACAACGCTATGTGGTCCACACTTTTCTGAATGCCACTAAGGATATTATTATGTTGCACTCACCTTGCAGAAAATATGCTCGGTTGGTTCGCAGTTTAGTATTAATAACAAAGCGAGAAGAATATCTCCCACTTCTGCTCTCCTTTCTTTCAACCAATGTTCCTGTTAAGCAGCCGTGGTGGTACTAGTTACTGCAGACAGTGTTAGACTAACAGTCGGAAAACCTTATCACTGCTATACAGGAGGCCAACACGCCCATTAGATTAGAGTCGCTCAAGAAGGCAGAAACATGACTGGGTACCTCCTACATTTATTTTTGCCATCTAACTTCCTAATATGACTGCTTTTCTATTTCAAAAACGAGGTCATTCAGTGAAAGATGAGAGGTTTTTTACAAGGAAAACATTAGATTATTTTTCATTTAATAGCTTTTCACTATCTTTGCACTGTGTGGCTTAAAAGCTATAAAATCTGTGGTGACATTGCTGTTTTTTCAATTTCTTAAC